GGGAAGTTTTCAGCACTCCAAGGCGTGCCTTCCCTGGGACCTCGAAGATAAGTCGACAAGTCGAGTCCATCGGTGGGAAACCGAGAAAACGCGCGTGCGCGAACGTGGGGGGAAAGGGGAGGGAAAACTTAGGGTGGGTACTTAGGTAGGATTCGTGAAATTGTAATTATAACATTGCTTCGTATGAATTGAATTTTTCGTATGAATTTATTTTGTGAATTGTAAATAAACAGCTGCAGCACAACTTTGAACGACGCACAAAGAAACAAAAACAAAAACAAGAACAACTAAACGAGAACTTAGCGCATGGAACTTCTAGAAATTAGAATTTTTCGTATCCATGCCAACACACAACATACTTTGCGCATGATGAACTTCCGAGATACCCCTCAGACACGCACGAGAAGCTCACTGTGATGAGGAATACGTAGTAGTGCAGGAAACAGTCATTTTTCGACACCCAACCATGATGAAGTCTACAGAGAACTGTAACCGACCCTATCGACTCTTCAAATTCCCAAGGATTCCTCAACACGTGAGCCTTCCTGCGCTCCACAATTACCCTAATGCACACCCATACACGCACGAGAGGTGCCTATTGTGATGAGGAATGCAGTGGTAAGATTTTTGCCAAAATGCTCTTCTGCTGAAGTAAACCCAAGGGATAAAATGTCGAGAAAGACCGTCTTCTCCCCCTTTTGACTACTTCGAAATGTGCAGAATTTCGCGAACCACCCCGAACAAAACAGATTCTTCCCGGAATAAATTTAAACAGTTTTGGCGAGCATTCCTCATCACGTGGCCCCTTCTACGTTCCGAACATACTCTCAAAAACTCTCCCGTACTTACACACATAAATGTTGTGAGTCTGCAGTGGCGTTGTGGATTCCATACTTTATCACTCTGAGCATCTTTCTTAACAAAAAGCTACACGAATGACATTCGCCATCTCCTAGACAAAAAGAAATGGCCTTACCTTCACTAGGACTTATGCTTCACTAGAATACACGTTTTACTCTTCCCTACTTCTTCAGAGAAAACAGCCCTCCCCTTTCCTTAAAAAAAATCCCTGATTCTCTTTTCCTCGCACAGTTACCAGTTACCGTACAAGAAGTACTGCCCCTACCTATAGACGACCCTCCTTGAACTACGAACCTCTCATGTACTGCTAGCGGTAACCCTCAGGCGCCACCCCTTCCTTAGTCACGACTTCTCTACTCGAATGTTCGTCTCTTCCCCCNCCCCCACTTCCTCTTTCCCATCAACTCATCTCTCTGATGTTAGGAACGGGTGAAAGGATTTAGTTTTCTATGAATCCCATAAACTACTATAAAAAACCGGCCCCACCTCGACGTCTCTTACAGCACTCCTCCACTTAAGTTACAAACCTTTCCCAAACCATTTTCCCACTTACTAAATTACTCGAATATAGTGCTACCCAACTACCGCACAATCCTTCCCTTTTTCCTCAAATAAACCCCCTACCCATTTTTCCCAATTAAACCCTTCTGATGGTTCTAAATTACTACGTCTAACCTTACGAGATTCAATTCGACGAGCACTGCCATCCTCCACTCTTTACCCAAAATCTCTTACCTGTATGTAATAATGCTTAAAAATCAGTTATAGATTCAAATCTCAATTATACCTACCTGGAACGCATTTCCTAATTCATACACTCGTATTCCTACCCACAACGCCACTTGGGCTAGCCAAAAAATTCTTCATTGAACAACGCAATCGTAATTCCCGAGATTATCCCTTTCTAAGGATGATGTCTGACTTGGCTGATTTGGCTAACCCCGACTTCACTCGAGTTCTAGGCAATGCAGGGTCAGACGTGACTAGTTGTCTAAGCATTTCCCATACTAATCCACCTAGACGTCCCAATATTTCTACTTCTATTTCACCTAGAAATCGTAGCAATTTCTCTGCTATTTCACCTATACAATCCCAGCTTCTCTCATACTATTTCACCTAGATAATTCCAGCTACTTCGATACTACTTCATCCTGATGACTAACAATATCCCTTCTATTCCACCTAGACGACTAGCATTCCCCATACTATTTCACCTGTACGATCCCAGCATTTCCCCAACTATTCCATCTACACGATCCCAACTTCTCCCATAATATTTCACCTATACAATCCCAGTTTCTCCCATACTACTTTATCTCGACGTTTTCTCGAAAAACCTCCGCAAAATCCCCGCTCCCATATCCCACCGCAGAACACAACTCTAGATGTCAACCTCTTCCCTCCCCCATCAAAAATATTCCCCTCAAAAAATGATCTTCCCCTAACATCACCTCCTTAACATCTTGTTGTTTGATTCAACCCCCTTGCACCGAACTACTGCAAAAACCGAAAAAGGAACTCCCCCTCACCCCTCCCTTTCCCCCATCCCTTCCGCCAGTAATTCCACCTCCATACCTTCCCCTCCTTAATGTTCCCAGACTGCACGTCTGACCCTGCTTGATACCTACAAACCGGAACACTTGATCACTCACATACCATCACACCTGCATAATCTCTCTCGCACTAGCTAATTAAGACTATAACTTGAGATCGAAAGAAATCGGAGATCTTGAAGACAAAGTCTGCTCGTACTTTCATCTCTTCACAACCTGAGCGGACTTTGCCTTCGAGATCCTGAACCACGAACAAATACTTTATGAACACAAAAACACGAAAACCAATCAATAATAACAAATCACGAAACAGCTGATGATGACAAATTACAAATCAATCGATCACCGACTCTTTGATTCCTCTGAGAGTACATCTTACAAGGGATCAAGCTCGAAAAGTCATTTAGCGTGGGCTGCCACCCATATCCTGAATGTCTTCTCCAAATTCGCAGAGAGAATGATACGGACCCATTTGCCCATTTTTTTTTTGCTTTCACTCTTAGTCTACATGCGCTCAATTACCAGATATTCAACAATTTTTAGGTGTATTACTTGTTGCTGCTAACGAAAAGTTTTGTTCATGGTTTGCAGCTGAAGATCACCCTGAGGACGCACTTGACCACAAGCCTGGACATCGTAATACTCCGACTTCTCAGGAAGCAACGAATGTACCCGTTTGAAGCATACAGTTCACTAGATGGTGTGGTCTGCTTGAAACTGCAGGAGCGTCACCCTCAGCCTCCCCCCACCCCGCCCACCTCACTAGAACATTGTTTTCTTGGAACTTCGAGGTCAGACTAGAATAAAAATACGTACATCGTGTCTCGAGTACATCGTGTCACCCCTGCAACTTCCCCACGAAAGTGGAAAGGCCGCAATGATGAATCCTCCCTCCCCCCCCCCCCC